CACCCGCAAAGGAGGCAAAAAAGAACACGATGTGCTGGAAAACAGTGAGAAATTGGCAGGGACAGACATCCCTCAGCTCATGGATACCTTGTGGTGTAAACCAGTCATGGAAATCCTCCTTCTATTTGCCAGAGAGAAGGAGGAAGTATTAGAAAAGCAGGCTAGGGCCAAATCACATCATGCCTAGGATGTCCATCAGGGGCATTTGGATCTTAGAGAGAACAGAGAGCCACAGGTAGGTTATAACAGAAGAGTATGTGATTCTACCCATGCTCTAAGAACAGAACCGTCAGGCTTGAGGAGGCAATATCGGAATGGGGGACAGCAAACAACTAGGGGGCTCCTCTGTTCATTTAACCAGAGACAACAAAAGGCTAAACAAGGTCAATGACAAGGAGAGGATTACATATACAAAAATACCCAGAGGTAAACAGACCAGGCTTGACTATGGACAGGAGTTCCTGAAAAGGCATTGACATTTTGGGTCAATAAGAAGACAGAAATGGGAAAATCAGAAGGCAGTGAGCAGTCCTTTGAAAAACAATACAATTCTTTGAAAAAGGCAGTACAGTCGTTGAAGGTACCCTGGGCTGCAATTAACAGAGGTGTAGACAAAAAAGACATTTCATTATCATGCAGAAGTCTGAGGGCAATGAGCAGCAGGAAGTTCTAGGGACAGTTAACTGTCCAGTGATGTTATTCATGGACATATCTGATGATGTTCAAAGACAGACTAGGTACGTGTCTCTGAGATTCTCTTAATGTTTTCCTCAGAATCTCAAATGATGGCAGCAGCAGCAGCTCCACTCCTCGCATGAAAGTGTCCAAGAAAGGAAGACCTTCTCTTCCCACATTTCTTAAGGAGAATAATATTTCCAAGAAGCCTCTTAGCCAACCTGCCGCATGTCAGAATGTCACCCATGGCCACCCTTCACCACCAGGAAGCTGGGAAAATGAGTGTCCCACCATATGATTCAATACAGTCACATATATCTCTCTACTCTATCATCAAATCCCGATGACTTGACCTAAGTCACTGTCAATCCCGTCCACCTCTCTCCATCTCCATTGCTGATAACCGCTGACGTCTACTGGGCATGTGCTACGTACTAGGCATAGTCAATGTACTTCACAACTATTACTTCACGTAAGCTTTCCACCCAACCGTATGAGGTGGATTACACTAAGTATTTTATACATGAGGATACTGGGAAATAGAAATGTTAAGTAACTTCATCAAATTCACATAAGTAGCAAGTGACAGAAGCATTCTTAAGAGTTCATATCTTACCTAAAACTAAGGTAACATTGTGTGTCAACCATACTCAAGGGAAGAAAGTACAAAAAGAAATTTGTATCTTGATACACTACACTGCCTCTTTTTTTTTAAAGATTTTATTTATTTGAGAGTGAGAGATAGCAGGTGAGAGAGAGCACGAGTGGGGGAAGGGACAGGAGAGGGAGAGGGAGAAGTGGACTCCCTTCCCAGCAGGGTTCAACCCCAGGACCCTGGGATCATGACCTGAACTGAAGACACGTCTCAATTTCCCCACGCATCAGTGGGAATAATGACCCAGTGGGACACTAAATATGATGTACTAGGAAATCTGTCAATAAATGCTTGTTAGCTCTTTCTTCCCAAATGCATCTTTGTGTCCCAGCCGGCCAGTGACATGAGCTCTGAGGCTTCAGACCTGAGATCTGGTGGCCCCCTCTTCCCACATAGTGCTTCGCAGACCATGACTTTCTTCTCCACTTGTTGGTCTGCAATGATGCCACCATGTGGAAATACGAAAAAAAAAAAAAAAAAAAAAGCAACAGTGAGCAAGAGGTTAAGGGTTGGCTAGTGATGTGGGAAATTAAAGGCAGAAGGAAAGGTAGATAAAATTAAATGTCCTTATAACCTACAGCTCATTGACAAATACTTGAGATAGGCAGATTGCAATATTCCTCCAGGATCCTGAGTCTTCTTTAGCAGATGAAAGTCCTTTTAGAAGTTCCCTTATCTTTACTTCTCCCAACTCCAGGGTTGCTCTCACAACCTCAGAGCAGTAGGGAATAGCAGGCAAAAGCTCTTCCTGCCCAAGGGTCCTGTCCCTGTGCTTTAATAAAACCACCATTTTGCACCAAAGACATCTCAAGAATTCCTTCTTGGCTGTTAGTGCTGGACCTCACCCCACCAACACCAACACACCAATATTCAAAAACCACATCACTAGGAGCAGAGGGAAAGAAGAGGACAGAATGAATAGGGTTGTGTTAAGTATCCACTAAGTGCCAGGCATTTTCATAAATTATCTCATTTAATACTTAGCAATAGAAAATCTGATTCTACAGATGAGGAAATGGAGGTTCAGACAGGTTAAAAGTCTCGTTCACGGTCTCGGAAAAAGTAAGTGGTGAAGATCGAGCTTGAACCCAAGCTCCATAGGACTTGCTCCTGCCACCCCAGGACACTACCCCCAAAATGAGTCTCTTCCTCGTGCTTGCTTCCAGGTTAAGTGTGCATTAAAAGACCCAAGGCGTCTTTTAGGCAAGTTTAAAGTCAACCTGATCCTGTTCTATGTGGGAAGAATCAAGTATTTGGTAATATCGGAGCACAGAGCATCTCCAGACTTAATTAAATATCTGCAAATAAATTAGACGTGCTGAAGTCTTTCTTTATAAAAGGTACATGCCTCTCAAGTAGGAAAATCTAACTCTGAATTCAAAAAGACCAACACTAAAAGGTTGACTACAGCACTTTTTAAATTAACCTAATTTTGAGTGAGCTTTAATTAATGAATTCAAAGTAGTTGGTCATTATCATGCTCTGGGTCTAAATGAAGTTACAGGACATGAGAGATGAGGTCTAAAAGGAGAGAGAGGATAGAGGAAGTCATGCCGCCTCTCTCTCACACGCAACCCCAATCGTGAGCTCCAAATGAAGAACTAGGTCCCAAGACCCCACACAACTGGTTCCAACACACAACGTATACACTGTGGTCGCCCAAAATGTAACCCACCGCTACCTGCCTCCAAATCTCCTGGGACCTTTGCTGAAATGCCATTTCCTGGGGCTCGCTCCAGGCCTATAGATTCACATTCTCCAAGGACGACCCCCCAGGAACCAGCATTTTAAAAAACACCCCCTCAATGTTTCTGATCATCTCGAGGTTTGCAAACAGCTTTAGGAGCTCAGTAAAAATGTAAACGTCACGATGACTCCACACTTATTTATCTTACGGGGAGATAATTTGATATAAGAATCTTGACATTTTTTGAAGAAATATTACCTCAACGACTATAAAGGCAAAGCATTCCCACTTTCAAAATGGGAGAAATCAAATCTTGCAATATATGGGGCAGATATATGAAGTCCACACTCAACTGCCTTGCGGCTAGAAGAGAAATCAACAGTTACCAATTCACTGATGAGAATGGTTTACAAAGCACTTGGTTAATTCACCTTTGTATCCAATTCCTAGCTAATTTTATCTTGTGAGGGAATGGCATTTTTCTAAATTTAAAACTTCAGTATGCTCCTCAGTGGGAAATAGACTCCCTGACAATGCCTTCCTTCTGTACAACCCCCAGAAGAGGTAATTTTTTTTTTTTAGATAAATTATTTCCTTTTCTGACCCCTCTCTACTGGTTGAAGACAGTCTTCAAACCCACCCTCTTGCTTGCTTTCTTACCAATTAAAGTTCTGGATATGGGAAATTAATTTTTAAAAAAAGATACCCAAGAGTTGAACAGCTCCTTGTGATAGGCAATCTTCTCTAATTTCTCCCCAGTTTAGAGGTCTCTGTTCCTTTGCTTCTTGGGACTTGCGCCAAGCCTAAGGTTCCCCCAAACTTGACGGTCAAGTACACAAGGCAATAATTAAACAGTCTGGGGGTTTACTGAAGTCTCCCCATTTGGGGGAGCTCTGAGAATTCTATCACCTTGGAAACACAGCAGCAGGCTCCCTGAATATGCACAGAGAGAATGTTTTTTAAGCACCATAAGAAAACAGGGTTCACTTATCCCCAAATGTAAGAGTCACGATTCAAAACTGTCACTGACTGGGAAGCATCTTTAGTCAGGAATAGTATCTTCAAGCTGACAAGTCACAAATAGGTGTACTTTTGCTAATCAGACTGGTAGTTGGGAAAAAGCTCAAAAATATCCTAACCTCATCTTTATTTTTTTTCTGCTAAAAATGGAATGGCTTCCACTTATCAAACCAGCCAAGCCACTGCTGATGCTATTACCACCTCCTGCACCTATCAGACAATATCAGACATCAAGTCACCTAGGTCGTTTGTGGAAATCCCGATTTTGGAAAAAGAAGTATAGAAGATACACTCATAGAAGACATTTTGAGCCTTGAAATGGAACTGCTTGCTTTGATGCAAATGGACAAATGGCTATGGGGAGGCAGGGGGCACGTGGATAATTTCTCTCAGACTACCCTTTCTAGTATCATAAGTTATCTAGCTGGAATCGTTGGTACACTGTCTGTTAAGGGAGAAAGTGAATGAAATCAGTTCTTTGCTTATTCTGTGCGCCGAAAGGGCTAACCAACATTAACCAAGTGTCCCTCTCCTCTGTTATTTCTTCCACAATAAATTCAATCAAATTTACGGAGCGCCTAGCCTGTGCCAGGCACTGTGCCAGGCGCTGGAGACACAAAGATGAATGAAGCAAAGTTCAGGTTTCTTAATGATTTCTTAAGATTTGCGAGGGCATAGCCTTGCTCCCCCTTCCACTGCAGCCTGGACGGCTGTCTAGCCCATCGTGGGAGTGCGTACTCCACAGCTCCCAGCTTCGGGGAACGTGTTACTCCCAGGCCAGCCCACGAACCTAGCGCCAGGGTTCTCCCGGCATTCTCCGAGAGTCAAACCATCAAGTTCAACTCCGGAGCCGCGACTCCCGCTCAGCGCGGAGCGAATCCCCGCTCCGCCGCGCACCGCGCGCGATTCCTTCCACCTGTCTGCGCGCCCGTCGGGGTGCGCCCGGACCCCGCGCCCGCTTACTTTGCCGCTGTCGCTCACGCCGAGGAGGTGATCCCGCAGCACCTCCATGGGGCTAGTCCAGGTGGAGTGGATGAATGTCCCTCGGAAGATGTGCGCCAGGGAGGGCATCGGGGCGGCACACATGTCAGCGGCGGAGCGCAGAGCGGGGTTCGCGAACCGGCGAGAGCGCACGGGGCGGAGGTGAGACGAGGGGTCCCTGCAACTTGCTGGCGGCTGCTGGGCGCACCTGCTCGGGCCTCGTACTGCCCCCGCGTTCCCGAGCGACAGCCTGCCCCCTGCAGGCCGCGCCCAGGGGCGGACTTCCTGCCTCCTCGACGCCAATAGGATTTTTCTCCTGTGATTTGGCTCCGCGCTCCCTCGGGGTGTGGTCTCTCTCTCCTCCCCGGTGTTAGTTTTTGATAGGTTAACTCTTTGTTTCCGAAATCACCGCTCACAACGCAGTACTTTTAACCTCGGGGGCGCAGAGTGACCGACCCAGGGGAGACAAGAGAGGGAGATAAAGGAAGGGGCAGGAGGAGCGGATGGTTCCAGCCCTGTCTGTACCTTAGCTGGTCACTAAATTTGCTATTGCTCCCTGTCCCCCAGCCTCCTCCACCACCCTTGATTGGCTTACCTAGAGTTCCGTCTGCCTGCTTTCTCTTGCCCTGCAAACTTCGGGCTATTTTGTGACCAAACCTTCTACTTTCTTAACCTATAGCACCCTCAAGTTCTGAACACGCACAAGTTTGGGAAAAGGTGGAAAGGCCCATTGGAGCTGCCTGCTTCACTGACTAGTTTCATTTTCAGTTCCTGCGGGTTGCAGAATCGGTCCTAATCTGTGGAGTTCTGAAAGCATCTCTTAACGGAATTACTAGGGGGCCCCACCGGCAGAGGCTGGACTGTACCGCAAAGTCCCTCTCTCCCAGCTTGAGGCAGTGTTTTGGCCGTTGTGTCCATCCACAACATCCACAAATAATTCCATCTCCCATCGTTCTCACACTTAAAATAAATGAATCTCGTTGATTCAATTAGACTTGCGCCAGGGGAGAAGATTAAGTTCTCCAGCCGAGCGGCTAGGAATGGCAGCGTGGCATGGCGTGCTGGAAGGAGCCCTGGGTTAGGAATCAAGACTGCGGGCAAGGCAGTGGCCTCGGAGTCTTTATCTTCATGTGCGAAAATGGCACTTAGATGGGGTGGTGGTGAAGACTGCTTCCAGTCGGGAATTCCTTCCTGCACTGCATTCCAACTTTACTAAGTTCCCCCAGGGAGATCGCCTGGTTTCCACTCATGCCTCACACATTCCCCTCCTTTTGCCCCAAATGTCCCTGTGGACCTTCACATGACTGACTCTTCTCCTCATCCGCGTGCCTCGAGTGTAGCGCTTTGGGGTAAACTTCCTCCACCACCAAACTTGTAGCAGCCCCCCAGCCCCCAAATTTCTATTCTATCCATCCATCTTTTTTCTGCCATCGTAGTTATCATATCTTTCCTCATTTATTTCATGTGTTTTCATTTATTTCTGCCTCTCTCCTCTCAAAACACACACACGTGCGCGCGCACACACATACACACAGTAAGGGAAGCGCCACAGACCAGGCTCTTGTGCCTAGAAACGTGCTTGATGTTTCATACATATTTACTGAATAAATGTATGAATCGTTTTGGTGGGGGGGAAAGAGCAATAACCTGAGCTAACTATGTTTCTGGCTCCTGCCTACAGAATAAGGGTTTCTCATTTCAGTGCATGAGCGGGCTTTCTCTGAATTGTCACCATTAGGACACAGGGCTAGTTTACATAAATGATTCATTACATTCTCAGCTCCTTACCCTCAAGGAAATGCTGCAGTCCTAGGCACACTGAGGTGGCTGGTCACCCTACCAAGGACTCAGAATTAGGAGCCCCTGAAGCTGAGAGCATTGCACTTGCCTCTTGGGGTTGCCTCATCAGCCCCTTCCCCTGTCATCTCCTCCTGATTCTGCAGACTTTGCTCCCTCCTTGTAGTCCCCACGGCCAGAACAATGAAAACATCCTCTTGACCCAGGCTTGTCTACCCACGAACCTCAGAGAGGAAAGTGAAGAAAATATGTGTCTTAGTTTTTAAAAGGAGTCAATTAAATGTTTCCAGAAGAGGTACTGGGATCCCTAAAACGATGCAGCTAAAGCTCTTTTAACAAAAGCAACCCGAGTGACCAAACAGTGGAGACTAGTTTAGTCCATTAGAACCTAGTTACTCAGTAGAGTATTATGCAGTTGTTAAAAATGGGGGAACTCTGTAGCCACGTGGGAATCCCATATAATGAAACGGTGAGTTTTTAAAAATGTCATTTATACTATGGTTAAAATCATGAAGAACCTGTAGGCATAGAGCCTAGAATTTCAAAGTGGATCCAAACAGTGGATATCATTCTGATGAAGAAATGGAATTGCTAGGGAATTTGGTTTGGATGTTTGTTGACGTTGTTATGTGTGGCTTATGCAACGAGTAATTATTATGTAGCTTTAAATAAAGTTCATCTTGGGCGCCTGGGTGGCTCAGTGGGTTAAGCCGCTGCCTTCGGCTCAGGTCATGATCTCAGGGTCCTGGGATCGAGCCCCGAATCGGGCTCTCTGCTCAGCGGGGAGCCTGCTTTCTCTCTCTGCCTGCATCTCTGCCTACTTGTGATCTCTGTCTGTCAAATAAATAAATAAAATCTTTAAAATAAATAAATAAATAAATAAGGTTGATCTTAAACAGAAGGAATGGTCCCGAGCTTCCGGGGAACATAGCATTAGCACTCCTCGGGGTTTAGCTCTTCCAAGCAGTGCTCTCTCCCACTTCAATTCCCAGCTGAGTTGTAGGCACCTCGCTTAGGATCCGGTAGCCGCAGTTTAGCCAGGTGTCAGGAAACCGTGGCTTCCCACGATTTTCGTGGAAGCCCTACTTTCGCTGGTAGCCCTACAGTTTCGACTTCCATCTTGGTATCCCCAGGGAAATGTTCTCAAGGCCACCGAAGTTTGGAGGAAGGAAGGAGTGTGGCACTTTTATATTTACCTTTGAAGCATGGCCTGAGGACATCACCAGACAGCTTCTGGTTAACAGGGTTATTCTGACTCAGCAAAGCACGTGCCAATGGTATTTACTGTGCTTCCAAAGTCTCAAGGAAATAACAGTTTCTATTCATCAGCTCTTTCTATAGCCCACATTTATAGCCATGCAATATTAGAACTGAAAGGACCTAAGAAGATAGTATTCAATGTGCATTTCCCTGCTATTTCCTAATATCCCTATTCCGTCACCACTGGCTCCTTTCAACCCTCACCAACTCAGTTTCTCAGAAGGAAACCCAACAATGGTGCTCTTTCAGTGCCCTACCCACGTATCACTTCCTTCCAAAGAAAAGACACGCTCCTGGGTACGGAGGCTTCCTGAAACCCTCACTGCTTCTTCAGGTTCTTCTCCCTCCAGTATCCCCCATACGGTGCACCTGCTTTGCTCACGATCTCTGCCGGCAGTGTCCTTCTGCCACCTGACTCCGCGCCTGCCTTATTCTACTACCCACTCTCCCCTGGCTAAATCCTTCAGCTTAATTGCCCATTCCCAACCCCTTCCAGAACATCTTTACACCTCCTCGCTCTCTCTCAGGTACTAAATGCTCCTTCTCTGAGCTTGTAGGGTGCTATAATTGTTCCTTTATTATCTGTCTCCACCAGAAGATTGTGTTCTACTTAAGAACCACGTCTCCTTCCTTTCTTTCTCTGTATCCCCTTAACACAGTGCCTGGCAAACAGGAGGTACTCAACAGACTTATATACATGTTGGACTTCAAGTGATGGCTCTCTTGAATTTTTCTCTTGTATTGAAAAATACAGATTTTAGTGATAAAAGAAATCTCTAGAGGTGTGTGCTAATGGTGATCAATTCATTAGAACTAAAAGTTAAGAAAGAGTTTCATTTCACTTAGTTTTCCAACATTTTCTTATGAAAATTTTCAAATACACAGAAAAGTTGAACAGCTTCATTTCTCAAGATCACATTTCTCCCTACTTTAGATGAAGCCAGTGGTCTCAAAACTCTACCACTACTGGTTTCTTCTTCCACTATCTTATTCTGAGCCTCACAACAATCTTATAAAGTAGAGGATATATTTTAACCATTTCAGAGATGGGAGAAACTGAGGCTCAGGGGGGGTTGGTTTGTCTATCTAGTTAGTATAGGATGGACCTGGGTCTTGACTCCAGTTGCTCTCACACATTGTCTCATCACAGTAGACTGAGAAGAATTTTCCACTCGATTTTGCCATGACTATGTCGGTGCATCATGGGCTGTCATTTACAACTTTCACATTGTACATGGTTTTTCAACAGTTGCCAGTGACACACAGATCTGCCCCAAAGTGAAACCAAAGTAGGACCAATGGACCTCAAGGAGAACAATCCAATCAGTGCAGGTCAATAAAATGATGCGGGGCACAGGTCATAACATGATGCAATGAGTAACTCGTGTTTTCATGAGGCACAGAGAGTGCGGGACAGGCAGGTTAAATGAGAAGCCACTTTGCTCTTCGAGGCAGGAGAGAAGTTGTCATTGCACAGTGAAATAAATGCCTGCCTATTTTATTTATTCTTCTTGTGTAGCTAAATCTATCAGTTTCCATGGTGCCCCACGTTCACCATGGAAACTCTGACAAGCTTGTTATGCTTTAGAGAAGAAAAAAAAAAAAGCACACCAAAAATCTGAGATGGGATAAATGCATTCCTTTTAAAACTGTGTTCTTCTGAGTAGGAAGCCTTGATGGATAGCAAATCATAATGATCGTGATTTTCCAGTTCTTAAGTGGGAACGCAGGTTTGCATTCCCATCAAAGGAGCACTCTTGTCCCCCCCCAACACTACTTTATCTGTGCAACAATAGTTATCCTGTATCTCACTTCTGCATTTCCTGGCAACAGAGAGATGGCTCAGGCCTCTTTTAGCTGATTTTTATGAGAATATTGCACTAGTCCCCTATATATTTTTTTCTGTTTGTCCATTCTACCTTTATTGGAAATCTAAGTTAGAACAGGCACTATGCTAAGCACCATTGATATGACACTGTATGAAATAGATATTGTCCTGCCCATATGTAACTTAAAAATTCTTTCATGAATTGGTGCAGGAAGATTTTTTATGCACACTCCCACCATGAAAGCAAACTCAAAGCAAATACAACTGACTGGTGTTACTTTGTCTACATTTCTGCCCTAACAGGGACTCTATTATCCAATATTTAATATCAAGGTATAAGCACTAGATAGAATTATTATCTCTGGGTCCCAAT